GTAAACTTACTTCAGATACCCCCGTTAAAACTCCACTTAATAACAAGAAGTGAAATGATTTTGCTTTGAATTTATGTGGTGAAAAGCAGTAAATACACTATAGAACTAAGAGCACATATTAGAGAAGTCTGTCCTACACTGATTTAAAGCGAGAGGGAGCCTGCAGTTGTAACCAATAACTTATCAGTTTGAATGATACTATTTCTTGCCTGAATCATCATTGGAGTCAGGTATGGTTCAACCGATCAGACATAGTATAATGCAAATTATCGAAGACTCAGAAACATTCTGTCTCTGATACTAATAACCTGTCAACAAAATTTCAAAGGTAAAGTTCTTCTAAGAAGAAACTTTATTTGAACCTACTAAGGAACAAAATCTAAAGATTATTTGATCTGAAGGCTTCCTTCCAAATTAATTGGAAGATCAAACCGCTGAATTATACTAACGTTTTATGCTTCAAGGGATATACTCCCGCTCATGAATTGTACCCAGAGTACGCCGTCAACTCAATGTTTCCTTCTTCCTTATTGATGATATCCAGAGTTGGCCTAATCCTCCTTAATTCTTGTCCACTTTCCTGCAGTGAGAATCGAGGAACGCGACATCTTGAACAGACCGATCTCAAGCCTTGACGGAAACTTTCAATAAATATGAAATACAGCAAAGGGTTAAAGGCGCTGTTGTTACAAATGAGCCAGAAACTTATACCATATAAAAGGGGGTGTTGCATCAAAACTGCTCCAAGCGTCCGACCAGCGTTTCCAAAGACCAAGATAAGAAGAACAACAAAAGCTGGTGCCCATGAAACAAAGAAGACAACTACAACTGATATCATTAAAAAAGTGACCTTTCGTGCTGTACGAATCACAAGTTCCTTTTGATTGCTGGAAATCTCACCAGGAATATTTCTTCTCCAAAGACGATAAGAAATCACTGAATAAAGCGTAATCAATGCTATAAACGAGCCTACTACAGTAGCTACCGATAAGTACAAGTCAACAGAGCCGCGATCATTATTTTCTACACATCTTGGCCGCACATCACCGTCATAGTATAATAATTGTGTGTTCGAAAGACTTCCTATAGGCAATGAAAATGAAATCAACCACATGACAGGAATTGAAATCTTTACCATCCATTGTGATGAAAGTTTATAAGATAGTGGTCGAGTTACGGCGAGACATCGATCAATGGCGATAGCAACAAGGTTCAAAAGAGAGCAGAAAAGTGTAACAGAGTTTCCGTATTCCAACATTTTGCAAGTAAAGCTTCCCAAAACACCACCAAACCATTTGCCTCCAAGAAATATCATTTGGATGAAATGTGGTGTCATTAGTACACTGGTCAAAATATCACAAACGGCCAAGTTCAGTATAAGACAATTGGTTGGTGTTTTCATGGATCGTTGCTTGGCTATGATGCAAATCACAAGAGAGTTGCCTATCACAGACATCACGAGACTAAATGATATGGCTGTGGCGAGAATTATTGTCGTTGGTAAACTGAACTGGAAATGCATTTTGAATGAATCTAAATGAGAAAAGCAAGATTTTTTCCAGCATTAAGGGAAGTGGCTCATCGATATAACTTACATAGGAGTCTATTAACTCTGGGCCTTTTTATTTAGAGTACAAATTCAGTAATGTGAAGTGATCTTCGCAGTTATGAACACTACTAGAGCAGTAGTGAAAAGAAGGCCTGAAAAAAAATTCAGGCCTGTACGGGATTTTAACCCATGATCTCTGCGATACTGGTGCAGCGCTCTACTAACTGAACTAACAAGTCAACTGGGAGCTGGTCATTATGTTGGATCCAAGTTAACCCGTGAAGTAGTGAATAAACGACTGTGAATATATGAAATTCATATATTTGAACTGCTGATAAAGACGTGAATATGAAAGCGATCTTCGCGCTGCACCAATATCGCAGAGGTCATGGGTTCAAATCCCGTACAGGCCTGAATTTTTTTTTTCAGGTCTTCTTTTCACAACTGCTCAAGTAGTGTTCATTACTGCGAAGATCGCTTTCATATTCACGTCTTTATCCGCCGTTCAAATATATGACTTTCATATATTCACAGCCGTTTAAAGTCAGTAATGCAAAGCAAATTTAACATCCAATCCTCATTTAAAAAAGATGTTTTTTCAAAAATCATTTCTTATAACGTTTACTTAACCAAAATTTTTTTGGGGAAAATTAAAGTTTTTTTAACCTTTCATGGGGTAAAATGCAATTAACGAAACTCACAGGAAATTACATTTCCACCTTCTGTTGTGTAAATTGAACACAAATCACTGGCAACTTACCACTTATTACTGCCCAAAATAATTTAACTACTAGGAGTGAAAAAATACTTGAGCGCTTGCCTTCGTCGGGATAATGAGCGTGTTCCTTATGTGTAGTCTCCAGAATTATTTTTACTGAAAAGCTGAAGTAAAACGCTGGCGAGATGTCTGGGAGACTTAAAGCTCAAATCATGTAAACTATGAACTTCGTAGGTCTTTTGCGGCTTTAATTAATGAATCAATCAGAGAACTATAGACGCATTTTCACGCTGCAAGGTTGGCAGGGATTGTTTCTAATGAAAACTGAACTCATAAAAAATAATCGTTTTGAACGGTAACTTTCCTTCCCCAAAATGTTCACCCTTAAAAACGAAGTCACATTAAAGGTTTCACGGTGGATTCGGATGCAAGTTAGTCTTCCTGGCTGTATTCCTTTATCTGTCTACCGCAGGTGAACAAGGGAAATACACGGTTTCATAACTTACCTTTCCGTAGATTTGTATCGTTAAGGCTTGATGAGTTTTCCTCTGCAAAGGACACCCACACACAGCACACGAGAATTGGACAAACAACACGAGAAAACATTTTATGTGTCAGCATAATGCTTCAGTTTAGCGGGAGGATGAGGACTCAAATGAACACAGCTATGCCGTTTTGTATATTTATGATTTGTCCTTCTGATTAAGCGAACAGTGGTTTGCTTTTGACGGTACATTGTTTATTTACATTTCTAGGAAAAACAGACTTGAAGGACAAAGAGAAATAGATTTTATCGCTTTTTTATTGCAGTCTTGAATATTTATGCTTTTACAGAAAATTAAGATTTTCTCTTTTATTTCATTTCGGATTTACAAAATAGGAAAATCTCTGTAGATACTCTGACAATAAATAAAATCAAATACTCAGCACTGATCCAAGTTTAAAAAGTTCTCCTGTAAACCTTATTATCTCAACACTCAATTTCCTCAGCTAGTGAAAATAAGGGAAATATGTAAATTTTCAAACCTTATTAATTAAGGGGGCTTATCATATTTTCATAACATTCTCTAAAAAACTAAAACCTGTTCGAGAAAATGTTTAGAAACGCAAGGATGCATTATCTTAGATTTGAGGTTCTGCTGGTACCGGTGTTAGAGATGTCTTTTAAGACTCGTTGAAGTTTGGAGTTTGGTCGATTATCCTTCTTTCTCAATACCCCTTCAAGATAGCCATGCCATTAGCATTGATGAGATCCATCGTGGAACTATAATCAACTTGATCCACGAAGACGCCGTTACCTCACTATGACTAGAATTAATGTAAAAACTGAGCGAGTTCGGTTAAAAAATGGTTTTAAAACCAACGTTTTGACGTTGTCCTATCGTTTAAAAGATCAAAGAAAAATCGATTAAAAATATTTCTTTAACTGAATAATAACTGAAATTTATCGGGATCATGACTTGCTAAGGTCTGACTAAAGCGATATTGCTAACGTAAAATGATTCTATCCACCTGTCACTGATCTGGATTTGTTTTATCATGTACAAAATACATCATATCAACTGCAAACAACCGACTTATCAGCTACACTAAAACTAACTCAAAGATCTTTATTCGAAATCTGAAGCATCATGGCGTATTTCGTCAAAAAAATAAATGTTAAGGATCAAAATGTACAAAAAATCAATCAGTTCAATATTGGGTCGAAGAGCAGGGGTAGAGGAGTAGGGGTGGATATAACTTAGGCTCAATAATGAGATATTATAAACTGTCATTTGAGTCATGAACGTTCTTTCACAGCAACTACACCTAAGCTTTAGCTTATGTTGTCTCCTTCAATTAGAAGCTCAACAAGCAGAGACATATTTAAGAAATTACACAAGATCTTTTTATTTAAGAGAGCTTTTTCAATAGCTTTGGGTTCGTAATCTAGTAATTGATTTATCATGAATAGTTTTCTCTCGAAATTTTATTGGCTTATTTCTCGTTGATTGATATATTTATCATTTTTATTGAGAACCTGCTACATATTATTTTGATCACATTTTACATGGTATATTGTTTTGTTTATATCAGTCAATGATATCAGTATTTATTTATTATTAGTATTGGTTACTTTTTGTTTTATTTTTACAAAATGCAGATGAAAATACTGCAATTGATATCTGCGCTATATAAGTTAATGAATTTTATTATCATTATTATTATTATGATCACAAGGAAATATCTACTCAGTTAATAGCTTCTTTTAGTTATTATTGATTGTCGCAAAACCAAAACCCTTGTTATCACAACGACCCATCAGAAGAATGGAAAAAAAAACCTTTAAGAGCCAATGAGAACACAAAGTTAAACCGACTAAACGGCCTGAAGCGCGGGAAAACGCGAGCATCCCAGTCGGGATTAGTTTTTGTCTTACATCTGACTGGTTGAGAAAGTGGCGCAAGGTTTGTGGACCAATCACAGAGCAAAGTAAAGCAAAACTAAAGCAATTCTAGATTACTTTTGACACTCCATTGAAACTTCTCTAATGCAAAGAAAAGTTCCTTTCTTTAAACAGAGAAGGAGTGGTATTTACATGGTTCAAATTTTCAACCTGTTTACTCTTATATAATACCACTGAAGAACAACATTCAAACGTTATGTAAAGCCTGAAAGGTCTTCTTTCATACTGCTGTGCACACCACACGGCTAGATTACGAAAGTTTTATACTTAAAGGAAGACACTTCCACTCATAAGTTGTGTCCAGAGTATGCTGTCAATTCAATGTTTCCTTCTTCCTTATTGATGATATCCAGAGTTGGCCTAATCCTCGTTAATTCTTGTCCAGGTTTGACCCTCCTTTCCTGCAGTGAGAATCGAGGAACACGACATCTTGAACAGGCCGATCTCAAGCCTTGACGGAAACTTTCAATAAATATGAAATACAGCAAAGGGTTAAAGGCGCTGTTGTTACAAATGAGCCAGAAACTTGTAGCAAATAAAAATGGGTATTGCATTAAAACTTCTCCAAAGGTTGGACCAGCATTTCCAAATTCGAGGATTAAGAGAAAAGCAAAGGCTGGTGCCCATGAAACAAAAAAAACAACTACAATTGAAATCATTAAAATAGTGACCTTTCGTGCCGTACGAATAACAAGATCCTTTCGATTGCTGGGCATCTCACCAGGAATGTCTCTTCTCCAAAGACGATAAGAAATCACTGAATAAAGCGTAATAATTGCGATAAATGAGCTCGTTAAAGTAGCCACCATAATGTAGAAGTCAAGTCGCTCCCCTATTTCTTCACATCTCGGCCACACATCACCGTCAAAGTATATTAATTGTGTGTTCGACAGACTTCTTATTGGTAATGAAAATGAAATCAACCACATGACTGGAGTTGAAATCTTTACCATCCATTTTGATGAAAGTTTGTAAGATAGTGGTCGAGTTACGGCAAGACATCGATCAATGGCGATGGCAACAAGGTTTAAAAGAGAGCAGTAAAGTGTAACAGAGTTTCCGTATTCCACAAATTTACAAGTGAAGCTTCCCATAACACCACCAAACCATTTGCCTCTAAGAAAAAATATTTGGATGAAAATTGGTGTCAGGAGAACAGTGGTCAAGATATCACAAACAGCCAAGTTCAGTATAAGACAATTGGTTGATGTTTTTATGGATTGTTGTTTGACTATGATGCAAATCACAAGAGAGTTGCCTATCACAGACATCACGAAGCTAAATAATATGGCTGTGGCGAAAATTATTGTCGTTGGTAAACTGAATTGGAGATCGATGGTGCTTGGTAGATCTGCTGAGAAATGATGAAAATTCATGCATTATGAATGAATCTACAAGGGAAAAGCAAGCTCACATTCAGCATCAAGGGGAGTGGCTCATTGATATACCCGACACAGGAGGCTATTATCTCTGGGCCTTTTTATTTAAAGTGTAAAGTCAGTAATGTAGAGTGAAATTAACACCCAATCCTCATTTTAAAAAAATGTGTTTTCAAAAATTATCTCTTATAACGTTTACTTGACAAATTTTTTTTAAGGAAAATTAAAGTTATTTTAATCTTTCTTGAGGTAAAATCTAATTAACGGGACTCATAGGAAATTAAATTTTCCACCTTCTGTTATGTAAATTGAACAAACAAATCACTGGCAGCTTATCACTTATTACTTCTCAAAATAATTTAACTACTGGGAGAAAAAACACTTGTGCGCTTGCTTCCTTCGGGATAATGAGCGTGTTCCTTATGTGTAGTCTCCAGAATTATTTTTAATGAAAGGCTGAAGTGAAACACTGGTGAGATGTCTGGGAAACTTAAAGCTCAAGTCATGTAAACTATGAGCTTCGTAGGTCTTTCACGGTTTAATGGATGAATCATTAAGAGAACGATAAAAGTATTTTCGCGCTGCAGGGCCGGCAGGGATTGTTTCAAATGAAAAATAAACTCATGCAAAATAATCATTCTGAACGGCAGTGTTCCTCCCAAAAATAATCACTCTTAAAAACGGAACCACATTACATGTTTCTACGGAATGGGATACAAGTCAGTCTTCCTCGCTGTATTCCTAAGTCTGTCTACCGCAAGTGAACAAAGGAAATAAAGGTTTTGATAACTTACATTTCCGTAGATTTGTATCGTTAAGGCTGGATGAGTTTTCCTCTGCAGAGGACACCCACACATAGAACATGATAATTGGGCAAACAACACGAAACCACATTTTATGTGTTAGCATGGTGCTTCGGCTTACCGGGTGAACGAGGACTCAAATTAACACAGCATTGCCGTTTTGTATTTGATTTGTCCTACTGATTAACCGAACAGCGGTTTGCTTTTGACTGTATGTTGTTTATTTACATTTCAAGGAATAATGAGACTTGAACGACAAGGGGAAATAAAAATTGTCACTTTCTCTTGTTTTTTAATTTCGGATTTGCAAAGTAAGAAAACTCTTCAGATGCTCTGTCAATAGATAAAATCAAATACTCATAACTGATCTGTTTCTAAAAAGCTTTAAAAAATTATACTGTAGACCTCGTTATCTCAACACTCAATTGCCTCAGCGAGTGAAAAATGAGGGAAATATGTAAATTTTTAAACCTTATTTATTAAGAGGACTCATCAAATTTTTGTAAAGTTCTCTGCAGAACTTAAACCTGTTCGAGAAAATGTGTTAATACGCGAAGAAGCATTATATTAGGTCTGAGGTTCTGCTGGTAGCGGCGTTGAAGAAGTCTATTAAGACTCATTGAATTTTGAAGTTTGGCTGATCCTCATTCTTTCTCGAAATCCCCTCACGATAGTCATGCCATTAGAATTGACTAGATCCATCGCGTAACTACAATCAATTTGATCAACGAAGACGCCGTTACCTCACTATGACTAGAATTAATGTACAAACGGAGCGAGTTCGGTCAAAAAATGCTTTCAAAAAACGACTTTTTGACGTTGTGCTATCGTTTAAAAGATCGAGGAAAACAAATCGATCAACACTCCTCTTTAACTGAATATCTGAAATTTATTAAGATCATGACTTGCTAAGGTCTGACTGCAAAGATATTGGCAAAGTAAAATTATTCCATCCTCTTGTCACTGATCTTATTATCGTTTGCAAAAGACATCATTTCAACTGCAAACAACTGATTTTAGCTACACTAAAACTAACTCACAGATCATTTTTCAAAATCTGAAGCATCATGGTCAGTACCATAGTGGTGTGGATATAACTAACACTCAATAATGAGATATCATAAAGTATCATTTGAGTCATGAACGTTTTTCGTAGCAGCTGCACCTAAGCTTTGCATTGTGTTGTCTCCTTCGATCAGAAGCTCAACAAACATAGATATATTTAAGAAATTGCAAAAGGCCTTTTTATTTAAGAAAGCTTTTTCAATAATTTAGGGTTCATAAATTGATATATCACAAATAATTTTATCTTGAAATGTTATTTCATTGGCTTATTCCTCGTAGATTGATATATTAATCACTTTGTAAGGTATATTATTTTGTTTATATTAGTTAATAATATCTGTATTTATCTGTTATAAGTATTGGTTACTTTTAGTTTTATTTTTGTAAAGTGGAGATGAAAATATCCCAATTGATATCTGCGCTATATAACTTTAAATAAATTTTTGTTAGTATTATTATTTTTATAACTATTACAAGAAAATGTCTATTTAGTTTAAAACTTCTTGTAATTGTTATTGATTCGCTTAAAACCAAAACCTAAGTTATCTCAAAAACCAATCAGAAGAAAGTAAAAAACTTTTAAGATGAGAACTCAACGTTAAACCAACCAAACAGCCTGAAGCGCTGGAAAACGCGAGCGACCAAGTCGGGATTGGTTTTTGTTTTATATCTGATTGGTTGAGAAAGTGGCGCAAGGTTTGTAGACCAATCACAGAGCAAAGTAAAGCAAAACCAAAGCAATTCTGAAATACTTATGACATTCCGATTTTTTCAGAAGAAAGTTCATCTCTTTAAACAGAGAAGGAGTGGAATATACATGGCTCACTCTTTCCACCTACTTACGCTTACATAATACTGCCGAAGGAAAACATTCAAACGTTATCCTAAGTCTGAGAGGTCTTCTTTCATACTCTTGTGCATAAATTACGAACGTTTTATACTTAAAGGAAGACACTCCCACTCATAGGTTGTGCCCAGAGTATGCTTTCAATTCAATGTTCCTTCCTCCTTATTGATGATATGCAGAGTTGGCCTATTCCTCGTTAATTCCTGTCCAGTTTTGAACCTCCTTTCTTGCAGTGAGAATCGAGGAACACGACATCTTGAACATGCCGTTCTCAAGCCTTGACGGAAACTTTCAATAAATATGAAATACAACAGGGGATTAAAGGCGCTGTTGTTACAAATAAGCCAGTAACTTATAGCAAATAAATATATGTTATTTGCCGGCTGGGAGGTCCGTATGGTGAAAAACTGTGACCGAGGTCTTGAAAATACTGCCCGAGGCCGTAGGCCGAGGGCAGCATTTTCAAGACCGAGGTCACAGTTTTTCACCATACGGACCGACCCTTAGCCGGTAAATAACATATTTATTGTTTTTAAACTTGACGAAATTCTTTCTGAAAGAACGCGAATGATTTATGGCCGTAAATACGGCAAGATCTTCCATAAACTGAACAATTTTTGAGTGAGTAAATGGTAGTTGAAATAGAGGTGATGCAAATTTAAGAGAGATGCCTCAGCGAAACATTTTCATTTCCGTAACGATAAAGGTGATTTAAAAGGCTTCCAAACAAACTTTGAAACATTATTTTTACAAGTATCTGTCACAATCTGACACCTGTCAATTAGAGAGCGCGCAAGAAAAAAAAAGTGTAGGAACATTTGAAAACCAACAGAACTAGTTTGGCAAGGACTGTCACGACAATATTTTCTTCAAAATCAGTCAATGATCTAACGGAAAGTATTATTCACTCTCATCGACCATTCATTCATGTACGAAGATTTACCTCTGTTCATTAAGTAAACGGCGAGGAAAGTAATTGTGAGTAAAGTCAATTTTTTTATTTTGAAGTTGTGAGAGTTTGCTCGTTTGTTTGCTGTAATGGCGTGTTTAACTCTGGTCTTTCCTTCACAAAAACTAAATTCGAACGGCACACTCCAACGAGACACAAGGGAATTTAATGCGGCCTTTTCTCAAAAAATTCCTTGAATTTCTGTTGTGCAATTTACGGTACAAATGTCCAAATTGAACGGAATTGGAAAGACTCACCGGGAGCGTATATTTGTTGTAGAATTTAAACTAAAACTTCGCTCGCTCTTTCACTATGAACAAATTGCTCGAGAAAATTCAGATATTAAATGAATGAAAGTTCCATCGTTCAGTTTAACTGTAACCAAATACCTCACGTTCCAACTTTCTGGGTACTTTTTGCGAACGATTAAAATTAATTGCAGACGGTTTTAAGGCCGCTTGTCAACCAACGTAATAACACTATTGTTTATACAAATTCATTCTGAAACCAATATTTTTCTGTCAACCAAAGTGATTTGATAGAGAGAAAAAAGAGGATTCATAAGTTATTTATCGGCTTGAGGTAGTGACCGACGTGTTTGCTTAAAAATACTGCCCAGCCGGAAAACGAGGTATATTTATGAAAAATGACAACGAAAGTTGGGATGCACCCGGCGATTCACGAAAGCGTTACCGTGGCCCGTGGGCAGAGATAGGAAAATACTGACCGGGTAAAGAACCAATCAGATTGCAAGATTCGTTACCGTGCCCTCTAAAAAAACAATAAAAGGGGGTATTGCGTTAAAACTTCTCCAAAGGTCGGACCAGCGTTTCCAAATTCGAGGATTATGTGAAAAGCAAAGGCTGGTGTCCATGAAACAAAAAAGACAAATACAATTGAAATCATTAAAATAGTGACCTTTCGTGCTGTACGAATAACAAGATCCTTTTGATTGCAGGGTATCTCACCAGGAATGTTTCTTCTAAAAAGACGATAAGAAATCACTGAATAAAGCGCACTCAATGCAATAAATGAGCCCATTAAAGTAGCTACTGTGATATACAAGTCAAGAGAGCCTCGATCCCTTAATTCTTCACATCTCGGCCTCATATCACCGTCATAGTATAATTGTGTGTTCGACAGACTTCCTATGGGTAATGAAAATGAAATCAACCACATGACAGGAATTGAAATCTTTACCAGCCTTTTTGATGAAAGTTTGTAAGATAGTGGACGAGTGACGGCAAGGCATCGATCAATGGCGATAGCAACTAGGTTTAAAAGAGAGCATTAAAGTGTAACGGAGTTTCCGTATTCCAACATTTTACAAGTGAAGCTTCCCAAAGCACCACCAAACCATTTGCCTCCAAGAAAAACTATTTTGATGAAATTTGGTGTCAGGAGTACAGTGGTCAAGATATCACAAACAGCCAAGTTCAGTATAAGACAATTGGTTGATGTTTTCATGGACTGTTGTTTGGCTATGATGCAAATCACAAGAGAGTTGCCTATCACAGATATCACAAAGCTAAATAATATGGCTGTGGCGAGAATTATTGTCGTTGGTAAACTGAATTGGAGATCGATGATGCTTTGTTTATCTGCTGAGAAATGAGGAAATTCGTGCATTTTGAGTGAATCTACGAGAGAAAAGCAAGCTTATTCTAAGCTTCAAGGGGAGTGGCTCATTGATATAGCCGACATAGAGTCTATTATCTCTGGGCCTTTTTATTTAGAGTACAAAATCAGTGATGCAAAGTAAATTTAACACCCAATCCTTATTTAAAAAAAAGTTTTTTAAAACTGATCATTTCTTTCAACGTTTACTGAACCAAAGTTTTTTTGGAAAATTAAAGTTTTTTTTTAACCTTTCTTGGGGTAAAATGCAATTAACGGGACTCTCAGGAAATTATATTTTCCATCTTCTGTTATGTAAATTGAACAAACAAAACACTGGCAGCTTATCGCTTATTACTGCTCAAAACGCTCTAACGATTGGGAGTGAAAAAATACTTGAGCGCTTTCCTCTTCGGGATAATGAGCGTGTTCCTTATGTTTAGTCTCCAGAATTATTTTTAATAAAATAGGCTGAAGTAAAACGCTGGTGAGATGTTTGGGAAACTTAAAGTTCAAGTCATGTAAACTATGAGCTTTGTAGGTCTTTTATGGTTTAAATAAACCACGGAGCCAGAGAACGATAAAGGCATTTTCACGCTGCAGGCTGGAAGGAATTGTTTCTAATGAA